AAAAAATTTCAAGAGGAAAGTGAAACTGGTTGAGGGAATGGACAGAAAAAGGGAAAAGCAAAAAACCCCAAATACATATATGTATATAAAAGGAAGTTAAGATAGTTATATACCTAATTTCTCTTAGTTCAATGAAAAGAAAGATTCGTGCTAGTATTATTTGGACAATTAAATGCCTATATCTTATACTCTGAGTAACTAAGATAATGATAAAAGTACACAATGTTTAACCACTGTAAACCTCTTATTACCTTGTTTTGAAATTTTGTTTTATATTTATTCTCTATAAAAAACGAGTCTGTTGGAAGAATTTGCAATTTCACTGATGGCATCAACGTTTTAATTTCTTTTTAATCTGTGCATCACTACCAAATCAAGACATCCTATTTCCTTTCGAATAAAAAGCAGAGATGGGAGCGAAGCTAGATACTTGCGTCCTCTACTTCTCGAGAGACTAACGCAAGCGGATCACGATTAAAAGATCAGAACTGGGCAATGTATCAGGAGATTGTACTGCTGTGAAACAGCATAGAACTGCAAATAGCTTTTGAAATTTCCCTGAAATTGAAGCAGTAAACAGCACACTTTTACTCAGCTAGAAACAGACCGACCTCAGCCAATGTATGTACGTAGAGGGTTTTAGTGGCAAATGTCCACCCCTCAGAAATGCAGTCAAAAGCTGTTAATTGCAAAGCACTTCGAAACATTCAGACAAGAGGTTTTAGATATACTTAGTTTATAAGACAGTAGATGTTTCTCCACAAAATAATCATTAACAAAACCTTCTGCTGTGACCTAAGAAATTCTCCTGCAATTATAAAATACATTATGTAGACTGTAATACAGAAGGAGCACAAATAACAGGGAAGGAAGTGCCTCACAGTTCCAACCTGTTCTCCTTTCTCAATGCAGGGACGGGATACTAGAGCACAGTCACACTGAGCAGGCACTTTACCCCTGAACTGTACTGTTACTTCATTCATGTTGTTCTCATGCAAAATGTGTTCTATTTTTCAGACAGGGTCTCACTATGTACTTCAGGCTGGACTTGAATTCACTGCATAGCCCAGGCGGGCCTCACACTTGTCCTTGTCCTCCTGCATGTGGGTCAGAGTGCTGGGACGTCATGCGGGCGTGACCATGCCCAGCTGAATAGCACACTGTGATCAACAGGTTCAATAAAAAGTCCTGAAATGAGTAGAATATATGGAACTAACTAATGATTCTGGGCTATGATGTCAGTGTTTGGGAAAAAACACATTTAGTTACATATGCAGCGTTTAAGAAATATATGTAGCAAAACATTTCATCAAAAACAATGAATGATTAATGAAATAGGACTATACTGGAAAAGATAACCAAGACAGAGTAATAAGAAAGAGGCAACAGAAAATCACACAATGAAAAGGACAAAGAAGATAGCGATCATGGGTATACTACCTTCTGCAGAGCTTCTCACCTTGTAGCACATGCTGGCCATCAACGCTTGCTCTGCTGTATTACCCTCACGGACGCCATCGTACATGCAGACCACTGCACCTCTGTGAAACATCACATTCTAAAAGAAATGAAAGGTAAAACCAAATTATCACTGAATGAATTTTAGATGGTGAAAATACTGTCAGAACTGTATAAAATTACAAAAGTGGCCACAGAGAAGGCAAATGGTGGAGATGAAATGTTAGCAACCAACCAAAGTGACAATCAAAAAAATTTCCATCACACACTCATCTCCCTGTGGGTTAGCAACTGATTTCCTGAACCTTTGCAGACATTAAACAGGATGCCACTGATATAGGTACCGAATTCCCAGGATAAATATATTTATTCCACAGAGAAAATATATACAAGTACGAACACTACAGTAAAATGATAAACTACAGTAAAAATGATACACTCCTCTGGCATAGTGCTGTGTTTGTTATCAAAACACGGGTAAGAAATCTCTGTAGTTTGTGTCACCAGGGTAATGCAATCTTTACCTAAACCTAGAGCCATGTCTGTTACTATTTTTTATCTCTTTAATGGTTTGATCAGTCTTGTATTCTTCCATCTGGTAATGTGAGCAACTCTGTTGAAGATAACAATAGATAACGCAACAACCACTGCTAATTCCGATCATTTTGTTTTGCAACCCTGTATCATTTTTATTGTTTTTCTTTTGTTCTTCTCTATGTTGTTATTTTATTTTTTAAAATTCTCTTTAAAATAAAAAAAAGAAAAGGCAAATAAAGACCCATTATTACAAGTATACAAGCTGATTCTCAAATACAAGATGAAATATTACCTAGTAAAGTACAACCTTCTATTAGAATACAGTGCCTCATCTTTGCACGTAGCTGACTAGTAGTATGGTTCCCTAAGCTGCTTGATTCCCTAGGTTCAACCTAAGTAGCACACACAGGAAAAAGGTGTATGTGTATCATAATGAGTATGTGTTTGTTCATTTCATCAAAGGATAGTTCAGCATAAAAGCATGGTGAAACTCATACACACAAAAAAGTAACTGACACGATTATTCAAATTTTGACATACATATTTTCTAAAGCTCAATATTTGTGAATTACTTCTTAAAGGTATCTGAAGAAGGAAAATTTCATAATGTGATTCCTAACTTAATAAACATATACGTGTAAACCAGCAAATGTTACAAACAATGGCGCTATCGTACATGAATTATTAGAAGTCAGAACTAAATCAAGGACACGCACTGTCTCTACCATGCTGCCACTTGTAACAAAAATTTCTGTGTTACAACAGGACAACATAGGCAAGACCGAAAGAAAGTGACAAAAAGATTGAAATGAAAGAGATAAAACTCTACGCCTGAACAATAAAAGGATCAAAATGTAGATCTTGAGAACAATACCGTGGAGACTGTTGCCAAAGGCCAGATCAGCTAGAAAAGAGTCACAGTGCTTCCCGTAGTTTTAATACTCATTGGAACTATGCCACTATGCCCAAGCTACATAATACACAATCGGAACGCAAGTTATAAATAAATGAAGGTCCCAAACAACAGATCGCAACATCAGCACCCAAGAAAACTACAGAAAATTCTGAAAGGCTGTTGGGTAAGGACAAGTGTTTAGCTGATAATGAAAATAGCAAAAATATATTTTCTTCTTAGTAGAAGTGAAAGTGCAAGAAGGTCGCTATGCCATGTGGATATAATGAACATTTTACAGACAAACTACACTGTCAGAAGTACATCTTATTATAAGATTGAACTGGCTTAAAATTTTTGCGAATACTTTTATTTTTTGTTTGTTTGTTTTTGTTTTTCTTCTGGTACCAGGAATTGAACTCATAACCTTGCACTTGCCAGGCAGGCGCTTTGCCACTAAGGTAAATCCCCAGCCCCTGCAAATACTTTTAAATGTGTCCTGAAAGGAGTCAGCTGGATGCTCCACCTGCTCCCTCACTCAGTCTCCGCCAGTATGTTGTTTACTTAATGCAAACGTGACCTCACTCGTCACTGTAAAGCAAGGACATTACTCACACCTAGAAATGATCTCACATGACACACAGGCTAAGAATTCTTTAAAAAGTATTGTACACTCTGACCAACAAATTGTTTAAGTCTGCTATACATGCAAAGAGAAAAATCACACACAAATGATGATCTACTGCGGCAGGTGATCTGAATATCAGGAGAGGCGTACAGGCTCAGATCTGATGATGCAGTACGCCAGGAATTATTTCAATTATACACTTAATACAACTATATTTGTAGTACAAACAACTCTAAATTTAAGAACCATCTACTAGAATTCTTTCTAAAAAACAAAGGACACTGTTTTATTTTTCAAATCTCAGAAGAGTAAAGAAACAGAGATATCCTCTCCCACTATTTGGAACATACTCTGCACTTACAGTTACTTAGGCCTGAAACTCAGACAACAGATAGACACACTAAATTTGTAAGAAGTACCAAGAATACACTTGCTTTAAACAAACTGAGATTTGCTGGGGTTGGCAGTACAAATCAAATGTACAAATCATTCCTTTATGGTGGTAAATTCCTCATTGTATTTGCCAAGTGCATCTGATTTTTGCATCACAAATATTCCAAAGTACACTCTGGGTACACTCAAAAAATACATAAAATATCAAAGTAAAATATGTAAAAAAATATCATGTAAGGAACTATAGGAGTAAGAAAATTTTCAAAAATAAATGTAAAGCCACAAATGTTAACATGACTTTGGAGACACAAAAAAGTAACTGAAGACTTCTGCTCGGGAAAGAAAACACTTTATGAAATCAATATGCAGTTGAAAAAATTATGAGATGGCATGTTTCCTCTACATGTTACAATAAAATACCAGAAACAAGTTTTTATCAAAAAATTCATTATGAAATATGAAAATGTGATGAAAGCAGATATTTTATACAAGGGCTTCCACAGAAAAGAAAAAAAACACACAAAATAGAGGCATAAAAGAGAAAAAATGAAATGACATAATTAAATTTTCCTAGAAATTCACAAAACTTGTTAAATTAGAAAAAGCCTAATGTTGGTTGGCTATGAGAAACAGGAATTATAGCACACAGGGCGGAAGTGTGCATGGGTACTGTCTTGGTTACTTTTCTCTCATTGCTGAGACAAAGTACCTGACACCACAAATTAAGCAAGGAAGGGTTTATTTTGTTCTGTTGGTGGAGGTTTCCGTCCAGACTCGGCTGGCTCCAAGGCAGAGAGGTATATGGCAGAGGAACACAGCTCCTGGTGGCAGAAAACAGCAAAAGCAACAAGAACAAAAGGGAGGAGCAGCTGAAAGCAGCCTCTTTTGCTCCCTTACACTGTATGCAAACTACCCGCCCCAGGGCAGGTGTAGCACTCACACCCATAACCCCAGCATTGGAATATGGATCAATGATAAACTCTAAAAGCCTGCCCCATGACTGCATGAGGTTTTGGGGGGACACCCAGACACAAACCATAACAGGTACGTTAAGATGTTGAATGGATACACCCTGCGCACCAGCAAAGACACTCCTTAGCCCTGAGCAGCTATGGCATTTTCTCAAATCTGCTTTGAGGGCAACAAAAGAATGTGCTTGTGGCATTTTCACCAGTGACAGAACTAGACAAGCCTGCTTTCCCAGAACTGTGGAAAGCCAAACATGAAGTTACAGAGACAAACAGTAGAGTCCCTGCTGGAAGTGACATGTACAGTGATGGAAGGAAATCTGGCATATTGAGAGAATTAATGAACACACAGGATGAACCCTGGGACATACCCCCACGGGGGCACACTAAACACGAATGCACAGGAGCTGGATGTGTGGCGCAGCGGTAGAGCGCATGTCTGTACCCGTCACTCTCCAGGGTCTACACACAGCAGGAACGCTGTGCATGAAGCTGTGGAGTATAACCCAGCAGTGCTGAGCAGGGTCACAGTGTGGAAGAAGACACACCTGCAAGCGGAGCGCTAGTCACATTTAGGGCTATTGAATATTTAATTTCATTCTTTTAAAGGCTGTGTTCTGTGTTGTGTGACATCAGTCCGCATCCTTTACCTCTACCTATTCTATAAATCTCACTCACGCTCCACATCCTGAGTGTAACAAGAGCTGAGACACACGCACGTGTGCTCCGATGTGCACAGTCAGCAATGCCTGAGAACCTCTGATCTCGGAGGTGCAGTGGACACATAAGCTCCCGAGTAATAAGGTACCAGAACGGACAAGCAAAGACCACAAGGACGGCCAGGTTCTCTGTACCCTAAAGAAAAAGATGAATGACACTACCCAAAGTCCCCTCCCTATCCTTGCACACTCTCTGCTTGTCCTCACCTCCTGCACTACTTCTCCGAAGTCACTAGTGTGAAAAACCACAACAGACCCCACAGCCTCATGGTCTATGCTGACGCCCACTGGAGGACTAAGGGGCCTTGAACTGAAGCTGTGCTTTATCCAGCAGTGTCTCTCTCCCTAGGCTGTTTCCAGGGGCTTCCCCACGATGCCAACTGGAAGTTCACTCTCAGAGTGTGGGGACCACAGGACACACTTAGGGGAATGTCAGGGATTGCAGTCTCTTGTCGTTTATGAAACACACCACAAAGGCTCACGGTCACGTCTTTCCCCAGAGACATATAAAATCACTACGAACTGGGAAGCATTTCAGAAGTGACAGCGTCAGACAGACCCGCCCTCAGCTCACCGACGTCATGGCAGAGGGAGTGGGGTTACAGCACTGAGCACCCCAGTAGAGAAAAGCTGATCCAATGCTAAAGCAGCGGGAAGGGTTCCCAGAATCAGCAGAAAT